TAATTAAATGAATTATTCCCCTTACATTTTATAATAACTAAGATACAAGTTTTGAATAATATTTTTTTAAAATTCTTATTTTATTTCCTTTCAGAAATATTCAGAGAACGTTAAGTACTATGTAAAGTATTTTGCTTTTAAAATAAAAGGTGATCTAATTTGAAATGGACAGAATAAAGCAGTGCTCCGCAACCTTTTCTCACCTGCGACGCACAAATAATCTTTCTGGAATTTCGTGGCACACCAAAAGCTAATGTATATATGTATTGATTTATACACAAAATTTACAATAAATTTTTGTTTTTAATTTGAAAAATATAAAATTATAAAGCCATAACATATTTATTTATATGCAATCATAATAATTATCAATGTGATACCTGAGCTTGCTTCAATGAATACAAAAGTTTTATATTCGGCTCAATATCTGACAACGCAATCAAGTAATTTTTGTATACCATTTTTTGTTATTACTGACTGCAAAATTTTTTTTTAAAAATTAAAAAACAAAAATTCTTCAATTTGATTCGTTTTTTTCAAATTAAAAAAAAACAGTTTTAGAGCTATTATTTTTAATTAAAATGGTCTGAAAACCAATATATTTCGTTTAAATTTATTTTTAATTTAAAAAAAAGTTATATATTTTTGAGTTCCGAGTTATCAAGGAAGTGCCGAAAAAATTCAAATGCTGACACACTTACAATCACACACACAAACAGTGAAATATATAAAAACATTTAAAATAGACATTATTAAGGGAAAAAAAAAATTGTCATTGTGTATTAAATACATGATAAAAAATTGAAAAATATCAAATACATGTATTTGATTGCGGCACACCTATATCCTACTCATGGCACACCGGTTGCGGAGCACTGGAATCAAAGAATCTCAACGCGGTAAAAGATTGCTAATATGGCTGACGATCTTGCCTGCTATTTCGCACATGCGCAGAAAGGTACGGAGGGTGGATGGATTGCCCCTTTAAAATAAGCTTCAGGGACATACACAGTGTCTCTTCAGTCTGACGGAGCCACATTTGCTTCGGGAAATCTTTACTTCTTCTCCTTAAAGATTCTTTGCTAGAATAGAGCATTAATTATAAATTGACTGAGCTTTTTCGAATTAAAAGATGCCTCAGAAGCTAAAAAATCATGCCATAATTGAGAAAGTATTTTGGGAAGAAGCTCTATAAAGATAAAGGAAATAATGCATAATTTTAATATTAATAATACAATTAACTTTGATCTTTTTGTAATCCTTAACCTTAATTTTTGTAAAATCTTAATTTTTGTAATCCGTTAACCGAATAAAGTCGAATTACCTTCAAATTTTTTTTCTAGTGTAATTAACGAAAACTTGTGAAAATATTTCATTCAAATTAAACCATTCTGAGCAAACTGTTCTGTGAAAAGTATAGCATTAAATTCCGTTGAGAATGAAATGTTGTTTAAAAATGTATTCTTTTCATATACTTAAGACTCTGAAGTATTGTAGGAAAGAGAATATATATATTTATATGTATATTTACGACGTAATTGCAAAATATTTACATCCGATCGTGTCAAAACTTATTGAACCCCGTAATAGAAAGTTACCGAATGTTTTGGTCACCACGAAGGGATCGCCAGTGCTTTAAAGCAGGGTATAGGACAAACCGGTTAGGACCACTCCATTTTACTTCCTACCTCCATGGGTTTACCAGATAGCTTCACACGTAAACCCTAGGTTACACACAGTAATGAATAGTGCTACTTGCTCCGTTCACAAATGTCTTTTAAATAAACAAGGACGATGGGAAAAACCTGAACCTTCATTGCATTTCTAAACGTTAAACAGAATGAAGATGATTTGTTAAAATTAGCTCAGGGGATAATAAGAGCTAATTTTTAACAATTCTCCCTAAAATGTCATCTCATTGCTCTTAGAAATACAGGATCACTGCAGCTAAAACTGCACAACTTTAAGCAGGAACAGTTAAGTATTGATAGTATTAAATACAATAGATATTCAATTTTCAAAATGCATTCACCATTCATACAGAAAAGGATAAAATCAAGAAATAGTAAACACACTCATGCAAGTGTATCTAGCTCTATTTTGTTCTTGTTATGATAAACATATTTCTGAAATGGTAATTTTTTATAATTTATTCAATTACGTCCCAAATGCATATTTAATCTCTGGCTGGTCAGAAACACAGCCTTCTTATTTGATATAAAATGAATAAAAATCTTAGTCTTGAATCAGGCTGACCTCTGTCAATACTTTATTGCTAATACTTTGTCAATACTTTATTGCTTCTTTATTACGATTGAGTCAAAGAGAAACATGTTTACAAAACAATGATTCTTATTTGCCTAGAAATTTAAATCGAAGCGCTGATGTTTCTTTTGAAGAAGAGATATTCCTTTGAGATATTTCTAATGAAATTAGTATACTATTCTTCTAAGAGAGAAATAGACTTGTTGAAGTTAAATCTTCCAAACGTGTAACAAAATCATAAATTCAAACAATACAAGTATTTAGTAAAAATTTGTCCCCACGTCCTTAGAAGCCGTTGTAAAATAATTAATATTTGAAAATTCAATGATTTGAAGTGCAAGAAATGTAAAAAATGGTAATATTCAAAGTGTTCAAAAGGTTATTGATAGGGTACTTCATAAAACAGTTTATGATAGCACGATAACATCACAGTCATCCGCAAATAACTTTCGTCAAAATTGAAAATGTTATGTTCGAAAATATATTTGGGATGCAGGAAACGAAACATTAAAGGATTAAAAACGAAGACATTCGTGTAAACGTTCCGAAATAAAATGTGCAGTATTCCAAGAAATATTCACTTAACTTGTAACGTGTTTGTAATTTTGTTAAATCGTATGTAATGAGCATATTTGAAACACGAAATGTATTCAGATGCGAAAAATAACAAGCATTTAACTATCGGGTAATGAATTAAATTTCAATGGAAATGTAATGGCATAAAAAAGCAAAAATATCTATAATGAAATATACTGATGATAAAATCTGAGTGTGTTTGTTTCGAATAGAAATAGTTAAAGGCTCCTAAAATAAATTCAGTCAATTTTCATCAAAAACGCAGTAAAAAATTCTCCGTACTGATAAAAATATTACTTAAATTCTCTAGCTTCGTGACTTCCGTCAGACATTGGCAAGATGAGCGGCTGTGTGAGCAATACAAGATAACTGTTTTTTAATAGGTTACTTCAAAGATATTAAAGAAATAACATTTGGGAAAAAATATGGACAGTTTAAAAAAATGTTCTATTATGTTCTTCCGATATTGTAAACAAAATTCAAAAATTAAATGAAAAATTTTGTAAATTTAGGAGTTAGTTACTGAATTGAACATTCTTTTCTTGGTACTTAAGCATATATAAGGGCGAGTCAAATGAAAGTGAGCCAACCCCTCCTCAGCAAGAATGGTTCGGTCCATCATCTGCGGCGCATGCGCGTAGCACAGAGACAGCCTTCATTTACGAAAGTGGCGCGAAAGTGTGAGGTTAAAGTTCTTTCAAGCGCTCTTACACTGGGTTGAAGACAGTAGCGTGAAATAATGGACGCTCCAAAAGAGGAACAGCGTGGTGTGGTCAGGTTTTGACAGCTGAAGGTGTTTCCCAACATGAAATTAGTCGCCATATGACTGCTGTGTACGGTGAACATTGCATCGCATTGGCCACTGTGAAGCGTTGGAGCAAACGGTTCAGAGAAGGACGTAAAAGTTTCAAAGACGATCCAAGACCGGGCCAAAGCCACCTTGCAATCACCCCCAACACAATTGCACAGGTTGATGATGAGCTGATTAGACAAGAACGGAGGATAAGCATCGATGAACTGGCAGAGCGCGTGAACATCAGTCACGGTTCGGTTCACACCATAATTCATGATCATCTCGGTTATCGGCTTTTGTGTGCTCAATGGATGCCCCAAGATTTTGAACGACCGCCAGAAGACGGAGACGTTCGGCGCTGCTTTGACTCATCTCATCCAGTATCACAATGAGGTGACGACTTCTTGTCTGCAATTGTGACCGGAGACGAATCATAGTGCCACCAACTACGAACCGAAACCTGACACACGCCGGCAAAGCTTACAGTGGAAACATTTTGAATTCACCACCCCCGAAGAAAGAAAGCAAAGGCTGTCATTTTCTCGGGAAAGGTTGCTATTGACTTTTTTTTTCGATCGTCAGGGGCCATTACTGATTGAATTTGCTAAACGTGGAGAGACTATCAATAGTTCGCGATATTGTGCAACGCTGGATCGGCTGCGTGTCGCAATCAAGAACAAACGACCTGGAAGATTGACGAATGGTGTGATCTTGCTACACGGCTACACGACAATGCTCGTCCCCACGTCGCTGATGTGGTTAAGACACAACTGGCAAAGTTGAAGTGGGACAACGCTGCAACACTCCTCCATACAGCCCAGGTTTGTTGTCGCCATGCGACTTTCACATTTTCGGGAAACTGAAAAAAACATCCTCAAGGGTACCAGATTCGTGTCAGACGACACCGTGAAGGAGTCGGTTACAGACCTTTTGAATCGACAGCCCAAGGAGTTTTATGAGACGGTTATCACGCGGCTCATTTGTCAATGGGATAAATGTCTCAATGTTCATGGAGACTACCTTTAAATAAAGTACTCTGTTTGTCATATATTCGCATTGGCTCACTTTCATTTGACTCGCCCTAATATATTTGGAATTAAATTGCTTTCATTTTTATTAATTTTAACATGATGCTTCCTTTCACTTCCATTTTTCATATTAGTTATCGTGTTATTTTAATTTCCGAATATTTTCAGCACCATGTATAAGAGGGCAATGCCAGCATAAAAGCATTTGCATCCGAAAAGACAAATACAAATATTGCTCATGCTTGCTCGGCACAAAAGGCAGCTATTGCACTGAAATTACAGATTGCGAGAGGCATGGTTTTTGTGGTATAGGCAACGATATGAAGTGTGTTTATGACATGCATCGAAGTGGAGGTGTATGCCAGTGTACGAATACCAGCAAGCAATTTGACTATCAAAGCAAAACCTGTAGAGGTAAGCTTCATGTTTGATGTTTCACACTTTTGAAAATGTCTGAATCAATAATTATGCATAAGAAGAGTAAATGATCGTTAAAAAATTTTTATCTTTTAAAAAAACATGTTTCCTCTAGTTGCAGCGATTTTTATTTGTCGATATTTCAAAGCTTTACTATTCTAATTAAAAGAGTTCTAATTAAAAGAGTTAATTCTGTTATTCCCCGTGTTTACTTCACATTTCTATTTATCGATTCGCATAGAAAAACATAGGTCATTCACAAACCTTTATATAAATTTCAATAAAAATTTTATTTCATGCATTACTAATTCAAATATTCACTTGTCAAATCTATCCTTTTTGTATTTTATAGGTTTACAACTAAAGCTTGCTCTATTAATTTCGATGATTCATTTTTACTAAATAGCACGACCACGTTTGTATAATCAAAACACTTAAAAACACCCTCTGTACAGTTATCTAATTAATATGTTAACGTTGAGTGTTTAAATAATATTTCATACGTAGGCTTAGATAAGATAATTATGCATTTAAATGAACCAATGTACGCTAATAATGTTTAGTTTAAGTACTTGAACAATGTCTGAAATTAAATATGAATAAACTATATTGATATTTATTCATATTTAATTTCAGACATTGTTCAAGTATGAATATGAATACCTATAAAAGATATATTAAATGACTACGTATAGTTATATACATCGAAAATGTAATGCGAAAAGCAGACTTTTTTTGGTGAGTAGAGGAAGAAAAGGTGTAAATGAGCTTTAATTTCTGTCATAAACTTTTCGAAGGGACGCGTAAGTAAGTGTTTTGGAAGCATTGAAATACCTGATATTTGAAGACACACATATTCCAAGTGCATGCTGATTTATTTTATGCATATAGAGACATACAATGGAGCTAATTCGCGATTAGTAGAATTGTGCATTAATTATATACTTGTGCAACAGCGATTAAACAGCTGTTATTTTTCAAAATTAGCCTTTCTTAAAATTATATCGCTTATCGATACTAATAACACAAAGAACCTCAGAATGATTGTTTCAAAACAGGAATCAATATAAAATCCGCTATAAGACACTACCGCCGTGATCAATAACGACGACGGTTTAGTTGAGATGAAGCTTTCGTCAAAATCCTTGGCATCCGTTTTGCTGCAGGAAAAGGATTACTGTAAAAACAAATTATACAGGGTTTCTTGAGAGAATTAATAGGAACAGCAACAATCTCTTTGAATAACCAAGATCACAGTAGAATGTTCAATGTTTCTGAACAGTATACTGTCAGGCTCGAAAGAGTTTTCAAGGAAATTACAGGAACATTACAGAAAGTTACAGAAACACCTGAGCATGAAAAGGAGTTGAACTCCTGAGCAATTCCTGTTCATGCTCAGGAGTTGTGAGCATGAACTCCTTTACATGCTCACACCCATAAATGGGATTTTCTGTTAGATGAAGCAACGAGGCTAAATAGCAAACTTTATCCAACTAAGAATTAACAACTAGAAAAAGTAAATGGTGCTCGCTATCCAACAGATATTTTAGAATGTGCTCTTGGGGACAAAAGTTTGGGGACCCCTAAATTAAAAGAAAGCCCATTAGTTAATTTTTTGGTAAACATATTACATCATTAGAAATTAAAAATGCGACGAAAATGAGGAATGGTAGTCGAATATTATAAATAAGTTTTGTTAGACTGCATCGGTATATTACCAGATTTCACTTGATAAAAGTTGCAGGTCTAAGATGTCCGGATGTGTTGTGTCCGGAACTATCGTAAATTATTTAACCATTTCAAAGTTTAGAGTAAAATAAAATTAACCGTAATTTAATGAAAGCAGAGTATTGAAAAATGTTAAGTATTCATATAAATGAAAAGTACTTAGAAGACTTAGCAGGAAGATTACAAACATGAAATCACCAAAGAATATGTATAAGATAATACAGTTGAATTCAGCTGTAATAAATCCGGTTTATAACGAACCTACGGATATAAGGAACGAACATTTAGATCCTGTCCAGTTCCTTATACACTTAACTATTGAGTTTTATCCTCTTATAGCGAAACTCCAGAAGTATAAAAATCAGATTTAACTAGTTGTAGGGATATCTACGACTGTTTTTATATTCTTCATATTTTCCCAGAAGTTCTAAAAGTTTCAATGGAAACATTATAACCGTTAAGATAATCCACATTTAGGATAATTAGGAAAAATGCCTACACGTTATTTTTCTTTTATCTTCACCCCCACATTTCTCTCTGTTTTAAAGAACACCTATACGAGACAGATGTGACATCCAACTTTAGGAAAGCGAAGATTTGAAATAAACATATGTCTGTACATCATATGGTGTACATGCCCATTCAACCGATAAATATGAATAAGTTCATGAATCTTAGTGTTCGAGCCATACCTATCTGAGGTGAAATGATTATGTTCTCATTCATGCATTGAATAAGACACATAGATGTCAAAATTATTTTTCTTTTCATATTTTTCAGCAAATCTGTCATATATTCTTTGATCAAACTCTGCACTCTGTTTCCGTGTCAAAAATTCATCCACATGGGAGCTGTAAACGTAGAGCTAATAAGGTTAACATCATTCGGAAAACACAAAATGGATACAATCAAATCTGTATTTGACATACGTACAATTTATCCAAATCTACAGCTGGTACCATATGAAAAAATATCAAAACCCTATAATTTCTGCTCGGGGAAAAATTTGGATGCGAGAAAAGGGTTGAGAAAGATGATGCACAAATATGCTGAAGAAGCATTTCTGAAATGGTTAATCATTTAAAGGAGCAGTAATCTGCCAATGCAAATGCTTCGGATAAATGCTTCCGGAGAAATGCTTCGAATAAATGCTTCCGGAGAACTGCTTCGGATAAATGTTTCCTGAGAAATGCTTCGGATAAATGCTTCCGGAGAAATGCTTCAGATAAAGGAAAATGAATTTGGCACACATCTGGACATAATGGAAAAGAAAAGATATATTTAAACATTAGCGTAATAACATTTACTATTAACAGCATTTTTTAAATAGACTTATTTCTTTTGGCAGAGAAGTTTCGTTTCTTTGTTTAGTTTCTTTTCTTAATTTCTTTTGACAATATTAATCCGTTTTCCTTTTTATTCATCATTCAATTTACACATTTTTTGTAAAAGGATCCATTTTTCTTATCGGATCGGATATGGCGAACCAAATTTCCAAATCCTCGCATTTCATTATAGCAAAATTCGATATTAATTTCTTTTTCAGACAGAAGACAGTGTGTCTAGAAAAGAACGTATAAAGATTGGGTAAGCAAAATGGTCTATATTTCTGAAGGAAAACTCACGTTTTACGAATTATGGAAGCAACATGCGCATGTGACCCTTTTTAACAACAAATGGTGGAAATGCTTGCACTTTCGCTAAACATGCTGTGACAAAGGAGCGTGAGATTCTTCGCACGCTCCTTTGTCACAGCATCCATACCTGATATATCTTCTGTACCTGATATATCGTTTACATCTATAACTCAGTTCTAAGAATATGGCATCATTCAGTTCTAGGCATATGGAACAAGCATTTCTGAAGGCCAGTTAGTCTTCATACACTTATACAAAGCTAACCTTACGCACAAATTTACGTAAACATGAAATCAACTAACTTTGCTTTCTGATCTCAAAGATTCCAGACTTAACAGAAAGTATTTCAATAGCAAAACAATTGTTTTGCTTTTAAGAACAACAGATGGTCTTGTAAGGGTTAGGAATATTTGTAAGCCCAAGTTAAATGATTAATACGATAGATTCTCTCATATTTCTCCTCTGGTGCATTATTATTAAAACAAAAATTTTGTCATCAGATCCAAGTTTAAACTGAAACATTCTACTGAAAACAGAGAGATTCTATTCTTACGGCTACAGCTTCTAGCCACTGGCATCAACAGTTCCCTAATCACACAAAATGTGCTTCCATATCTTATTTAAATTACTGCAAGAAATCTATAACAACTTCGTACGTTCAGGAATACAGTATTTTCATTCTGATCTGTTTTTAACATGTTTTTTATGTAAATTATATTTATGATTTCATGTATTATTAGATGTAAATTTTCTAAATATGTTTTAGTTCCATGCCGCGATGGAGACTGTGAAAATGGTGCTAAATGCACTGGCAAAGGTTATAAATTTTGCGAATGTTTGCCAGGAACAACTGGTCATTTTTGCTCTGACATTACGGAATGCCAAAAGGAGAATTTTTGTGGTACAGATGGCGACACTACGTGTATGTATGATAGTGACAAAATGGAAGCTATATGCCAGTGTACGAATACTAGTAAGCACTTTGATTGTTATGAGAAAGCATGCAGAGGTAAGTGCCTTGTTTCAACTTCCTTATTCGTTATGTACGGAAGAGGATTTCGAGAAACTATTTAAATTTCTAAAATATGTTTTAGTTCCATGCAGGGTTGGAAACTGTGACAATGGTGGTAAATGTGTTGGCGATGGATATTTTAAATTTTGCGAATGTTTGCCAGGAACAACTGGTGCTTTTTGCTCTGACGTTACGGAATGCCAAAAGAAGAATTTTTGTGGTACAGACGGCGACTCAGTGTGTATGTATGACATCAACCAAACCGAAGCGATATGCCAGTGCTCCAATATTAGCAAACTCTTTGATTATAAGCAGAAAATATGCAGAGGTAAATATCTGATTTCAAGCTCCTTATTTATTAATATAATCGGAAAAGAAACTCAGAAAGTATTTAAATTTTAAAAATGTGGTTTAGTCCCATGCAGAGATGGAAACTGTGACAATGGCGGTAAATGCACGGGCAACGAAGATTTTAAATTTTGCGAATGCTTGCCCGAAACAACTGGCTCTCTCTGCTCTGATGTTACGGAATGCCAAAAGGAGAATTTTTGTGGTACAGACGGCGACTCTATATGCATGTTTGACAGCAACCAAATGGAGGCAGTATGCCAGTGTTCAAACAGTAGTAAGCTCTTTGATTATAAGCAGGCGATATGCAGAGGTAAGTTTCTTGTTTCAAGCTTTTTATTCATTAGGATAAGCGGAGAATAATTTTCAGAAACTGTTTAATTTTTCAAAATATGTTTTAGTTCCCTGCACAGATGGAGATTGCGACAATGGCGGTAAATGTACCAATAACGAAGATTTTAAATTTTGCGAATGTTTACCAGGAACAACTGGCTCTCTATGCTCTGATGTTACGGAATGCCAAAAGGAGAATTTTTGTGGTATAAACGGCGACTCTGTGTGTATATTTGACAGCAACCAAATGGAAGCAATATGTCAATGTTCGAATATTAGCAAGCTCTTTGATTATAAACAGAAAATATGCAGAGGTAAGTGGTTCTAACTAATTATTTGATTATAAACAGAAAATATGCAGAGGTAAGTGGTTCTAACTTTCTGATTACAACTAATAAGGAAGTTTTAATTTCCTTATTAGTTATAACCAGAAAAGAAATTTAAGAAACTACCTAAGTTTTAAAAATAAGGCCCATGTATATCTCAGATTTATATTGCGTGATCGTTATTTTGATGTAAACACATTTTATTAACTGTGCTCTCGAATTCCATTCTGTATATTTACTGTATTCGTGTAAAACAACTGTATTTTTATGTTGTGTTGTGGATTTCTCGTATTTCTTTGACAATGTTATTTTCATGAAAATTCGTTTGTCTCCTAAAATTGTTTCAATGATAATGACCTAATCTTTAATTTCTTTAATTACGGGAAATAATGCAAAGGTATAGCCCTGAAATTAATTTTTAACACGTTTTAAATAGCTAATTTTAAGTAACCACGATATTATTAAAAATCGAGTTTGTGCAATTTTTTTAAACGAGGTTTTAAGTAAACCGCGAGTAAAAAATGGAGACCCTTTGTTTAAGCTATTATTTATAATCTCACTAAAATAATATAAATAAATAAATAATGAAAAGAGAAAGAATCGTAAATTCAAAATAATTATTGCTGGCATATTTGTAATATTGCATAAATTTATGTTTTCTACCACATGAAGCCAATTTTACTGAAAATTATTTTGAATCAAATGCCTTTCATCACATACTATAGCTCTGTTTCTTTATAATAGGTCTTCAAGGCCGCTGAGACACCCCCCCCCGTTTGCGGTCGTAAACCATGTCGTTTTTACCACACTGTACTATTTCCTCCACCTCGTCTGAGACAAGTTCAAGTCACCCCTTCATTCGAACTCTTATCATGAAGGGCGACACAGTGAACTGAAATGGGGTGGACGAGAATGTTAGGCACTTGAATCATCTGCTGTAGCTGTCCTCCCCATTGTTACGAGGCATGCTAGGCGGCGGAAAATGAACTTGAAATTCTCCTTTTAGAGTAACAGACTATAGTAGCGTCAACGCAGTAGAAATTAATTAAATGATGTTTGATATATAATAAATATTTAATTTCCAAAGAAAGAGATCAACAAAATACGAGAATGCAACCGGAGAAGAGAGATTGCATAAGCAAATGGAAGTCAATTAAATATTGAGAAGTCTACAAGCCATATTACATATGCGATACCAAAATCCGGACATAATGGTTATCATTTCAACGCCAACAAAAATAATAAATAGTAATCAATGTAAGTCAATAAATCAATAAAATAAGCTGCTGCAATTACCGAATTTCTCTAAATTTTAACCTTTAAAGTAATCCTGCAATTTTAAATGTCAAATAGGTAAATAAATTTTCATAATGTAAAACAATACTTGTATACTACTCGGAAAAATGCAGAATGTAAGAAATAAAAGAGATAACGAAAATTGACATAAGATTTATTTTCATTACGAAAAGCTTTCAAAATTTAAGATTTTGTCTCTTACCAAACCCAGTCGAAGAAAGTGCAGTTGACGAATGTGTCAGTTTAATAAGGATTTTAATATTTTCAGTGCTGTTCGGAAAAATGCAGAATGTAAGAAATAAAAGAGATAACGAAAATTGACATAAGATTTATTTTCATTACGAAAAGCTTTCAAAATTTAAGATTTTGTCTCTTACCAAACCCAGTCGAAGAAAGTGCAGTTGACGAATGTGTCAGTTTAATAAGGATTTTAATATTTTCAGTGCTGTTTCAGCCGTTTTACTAAGCTACAGACACATTTTGATTGAAAGAATATGGAATTATTTAAAAAGTACTTGTTATTCCAAGTAAGAATAGTCATTAAACTATAAGTATTCTCCGTAATTAAGCATTGCAGAAAACATTCAGAATGACAGATTTGAAGCAACGCAAATATTGGCCAACTAATAAGATTACACAATTCCGGTAGTCCAAAATTGATGGGTGGAATCTTTCGCGCATAATGTAAAAGATTATGATGCTGCGAACATATATTCCATGCACTCTGTTTTGTAAATAGCTACATCAAATCTACATAATGATTTTAAATACAAAACCAGATAAAATCTCAGTACATATAGCGCGAAAAGGATTAGAGATACTAAGATATTAAAATATTTTAAACGAAGAATCTTAAAACATACACATTCTATTAAAGCCCGCCAGTGGTCGAGAGGTGAAGTCTCTGAACACTGGTAGTTCGGTTCGGGGTTCGAACCCGGGTTTCAGATAGAATTTTAGTAAAATTATTTGTTTCAGATAGAATTTTAGTAAAATTATTTACATATGTACAAAATTCGTAGGAGTATCATGCTTTAAGCTACATTAGTACCTTTAATAATTTATAATAGCCTACAGTTTATTAACTTAGCTTGCATATTTGTCGAGAAAAGAAGAGACTACAACACGAAATATCACATGATAACCTTATTCTTAACTTTAATTCCTCCATTTTAACAAGAGTTAGAAAAAACCAATCACAGCTCCTGTTCTAATGATGGTTAACGTTATATAAATAAAATAAGTGCATAAATTTATATACTGTTTACAATACTATGGCAGTATCTCTCATTTAACTTTACTTTTGTAGTGCCATGTTACAAACAAGGAACATGCCAGAATGGTGCTGTTTGCACCGAAAGTTTCTGCGAATGCTTGCCGGGAACTAGCAGTGATTTTTGCGAGGAAATTTCTGCGTGCGAAAATATAACTTTCTGTGGTTATGGTAATGAAACTCGATGCATTTATGACACAACAGAAAAGACAGCCGTGTGTGAATGCTTAAGACCCGATGCAAAATTCAACTACCTTACAAGAACATGCCGTGAGTACCTCTTTCCTTTTATTACTTTAAGTATGATGGGGACTGACCATGTTTTTTACTTATTGCTAAGAAAGTGAATAAAATTCTTCAAGAAAGTCATACGTGAATGATTCCTAAGACTTTTACATCTTCCATTATAAAAGTAATGTTTAGTGCCATTATAAACCTAATGTTATACTAAGATCTTTCCCGCTAAACATCCGTTTCGAGTTTTCATTTCGATTTTACTTTGATTTGAAAATAATATTTTCAGGGTTCTTCGAGATCCTGCATAAGAGATGTTGCAAAATATTTAACTTAGGAGCAGCGTTCCGTTTAACTCAGTTTTGGGAGTTTATCATAGTAATTGTCAACTTAATGCTTCAATCATTACGTCTTCTAAAATCCACGATGCTAAAATCCACGATGAAAATGATTAAAAAAATATAATTAAAAAAATCAGCGTTTGCTAGAGCAAAACATTCGTGAAATTCGGTTTAAAAATATTCATTCTATAACATTTCTATAATATCAATCCACTTACTGAACACAATAGGTGACGTATTTTCCGTGTTTCTGCATACAAATGGGCGGGACTTCAGGAATTCGATAACGATATCCGAATGATAATATTTATTGTAATCCCATTAAGCCACGCCTATTGCAATGAAAAATGGGCACAAAGGAAATAAATGCGTCAGTATGGAACTCGCTTCGTTTTGATTTCCCGGTACTAAAAAAGATGAATCAGTGCAAAACTACAGATTAACCGTAGTTAATAAAGATTTTGTCACGTGACTGAGTTAAAAACAAAGAATTATTTCCAAATTTTAAATTTATAGGCATGCGCTGAAATGACGCCCCTACCATAAGTATTAATCTCAAGCTGTCTAAAGCCGTAATTTAAGGAGTTCTCGAGGAAGTATTCAGTCTGTATTCTCAAAGTCTTTACGATGCATTGTGTTATCCATGTGCACATCTGAGGCACGTTTTAAAGCGTCAACTTTTGTCTTCCATTACTGCAATAAGCACAGATATTGAAATATGTACAATATATTAAAGACTCCACAAAAAGAAATATGAAGAAACAATATTTGCGAAAATATTTTTAAAACATTTACTCTCAGTTTATGTCCTAGTAGGGACTCCATTTAATGAATAAGTTATACACAACTTCTGTTTCTTTTCTCTATTAAATTTTTCCTTTTTACTCTGTTTCCTCTTGTTTTACAGATTGCGATTGCGGTGTCAATGGAACGTGTTACTTTGACAGTTCTGAAAGAAAGAAATGCATATGCAGTGAAGGATTTAAAGAATTTAATGGCTGGTGTAACGGTACGTACAAAAAATTATTCTTAATAGGTTTCAAATTCTGAAAATGTATTCTTACGTGCGTATGAGTTGGTTAAGAACTGAATGCACAAGGAACCGATAATAGCTTGATAAAATTTACTTCCCCTAAAGAGAGACTCTGCGGTTTTGGAACATTTCACAAAAAGACGTGTACAGCTTTTCTCAATATAAAGGAGTAATAATCAGTAGTTTCCACTTCAAAAGTGCTGAAAACGTTAAACACAACACAATGCAAAGCGCATCTAAAGAGCGAAGTTCGAAGTGCTCTCAATACTCCGAAGTCAACTCCGAACTAAAAACTGAGAATTGACGCTCTTCTCCTGTCTTATATAGTTTTACCCCGGCCGACGAGAAATTTCCAGCATCTTTTCTTTACTGCTGAAAGGCATATGAAGTTGCATGTAAGGGCCGAAAATCTAAAACAAGAATTTCGGCAATAAATTTAGGACAATTTATATCAAAAATGGACAGTAGGATTTTTGAATGCTCTTGCATTGGATCTAAATTTCGTGTAGCGATATCGAGCTCATCGTATAACTTTTTCGAAGCTGAAACAGTTGAAGAATTTTCAACACTTTGCATATTTAAAATTTTACTCATAAATGAATCAATGATCATTACGATCAAAACGATCTCTAAGTAACTTTACACAGTTATCATAATTTTTATCAATTAATTGGCAACCAGATTTTATATATATTTAACTCCTCTAGTCAAGTATGTTTTTAAATAGGCAATTTTTCCAATTTTCGAAAGTGAATCATTTTGATCAATAGAGATTTCAAATTAATTCGAAAATTCGTTCCATTATTTCTGTTCTCCTGAGTACGGTTTGGTTTCTAAGGTATGAAACTGATTTGAAGAGGGCAAATTTAAGTCATCATTCGAAGTACTTAACATTTTTCATAATGTTCAAAAGTTAGTAACATTTTCTTTCTGTTTCAATGTTTCAATGAATGTTTGTTAGTATATCTAACACGTTTTTCTTGATATTCAGTACTAATGTTTACTTCTTTCTTCATTCCGTTTGCATAGATTAAATGTTCAGTTTGACTATCTAAAGATTTTAATTTATTCATTCTTTCAACTAAAACTTCTTGATGTTCCTCTAAAATAACACACATATCATGTTCATCTGTTAAAGCAACATCAATTCTGGAAATTAGTAGTATTGTTTCAAAAGTGTGTTTTCGTTTTAATTTTTCAAAATCTTTCGTGAAACCATGCTTCATGCTTCAAAGAATCATACATTCAAAGTGAACGTTATAAACGTAAAACGCTCACCTGTAATCCTTTTGGAAATGGTTAAAGATTGCTAATCCAGATTCGATGGTAATAAGAATCCAAGCCCAAATCCATTGATAATAAGAATATTGCACTAGGCATAATCCATGAAATCCAAAGGAATTTTAATATAGTTATGGGGAACGAACTTATGAAGTTCTGAAACCATAAAACTACAGAAAAAAACATCGCTAATACTCATCGAATTATTACTAAACCACAGCTAATTTACATGAATTAAAAATGATAAGAAAAGAAGAAATGCCACAGCATCAAACATTTTCATCGGTCATCGTTCTTCACTCATTTGTGCGTTTCATCTAGACGGCGCTTTAGCATACTCAGTTACAATCACAGTTGCATGGCCAATTCCAAAAATATTATAGACTAGTCTTTATATATATAAGCGGCTGAAGTGTGTGTCGCCGATAGTTTATGGTTGCCACTCTGAAAAATGAAAGCGGAAATTAACGTTTCCGCAGTTTTTAATTAATATGTGAACCGATTAAAGTCGTACGAAGATGAGAACGCTATCGATGGATTCGGAGAATTTTTTGGAATCCGAGGATACGCGTCTCGAATTTCAACTGGACGCCATTCGTAGATATTCGAGAAAAAAAGAATCTGCCACGTAGCCAAATCCCTCTAATAGGGAAAACCCAAGAAAGAAAGTGGAAAATGTAGGGAAAACGGAGGGGAAAATTAGTTCCCAAGAAGAAGAGAATGGTCGAAATGGCGTGCCACGGACCTGCGGAATCCAACGGTGTGCCTCGCTAAGCCTGGGAGCCAGCCGTTTCAAAGGAGATGATGTTACTTCACCCCATATATATATGCGGCTTAAGTGTCTGTTTGTCGCCAATAGTTTATTGGTTGCTTGCGTAACTGTACTAGTCAATGGGGGTGAAGTTGCCCCGGCACAGGGTTGCCGTTTCAATTGAGACATAGACAATTTCCTGTAAAACTTGCCTTTGCTATGACCAAGTCTCAGGGCCAAACGCTTAAGCGTGTTGGCATTTTTTTACCTGAGCCTGCATTTGGACACGGTCAACTTTATGTGCTGTTCAACAGTCGTGAAAGAACGGACGTAAAATTAAAAATTTGGATGGTCCTTTCCAAGGCAAGCTTAAAAATGATGGAAAGATCTACACAAGAAATGTTGTGTACCAAGAGATCTTTGACATGTGAATTAACATGTGCCTTCATTGCACTCTACTTTAAGCAATTAAGCAAGTAGAAGAGGGAAACCCCGTGGGGCAGTAAGCAAAGGGGCGTTCTCATTGCCTGCCCTGGGTAATTCAGTTTAAATTAGCAGACACATTTACACAAATCATTTTAATTACAATTTATAATATCTAGAACAGCGGTCATTTCGTATGGCCGCCGGGCTTTCTAGTTTATAGTATATGGAAAGACATATGCTTCCCCGAAGGAGCTCAAATTGTGTTGTAAAATAGTGCATTCTGCTTTGCAAATAAAGTTAAACTTAGATTTTTAAAATAAATATGTATTTGAACTTGAATGAAAATGGCTATAGCTCCCTTATGTGACTGCATAATTTAAAACCGTATTTTGACGAGTTATATCTAAATCATTCACTCAAGACAATTCTCAGTGTAAATAAAAATGCATGTTATGTGAAGGAATTTGCGGTCATCCCAAAGATAAGAAAGGATTTTTACATCACTTAGTTTTTCTCGAATTCCTTATACAGGATTTTATTGAATAATTCTTAAAGTTTCTGAACTCGTAGCATTTAGAAACCTATCTTCGCCGTTGCTAAAAAGAGATGTTTATCTTCGTGCAAATTATCTTCCTAATATCTCTGAGTGATGTAGAACAACAGTAATTGCTCGGAACAGATTCAACCAAACGTTATTATGTTGAATTTTGGTTGATAAAAATTTAATTTAGAAATAATATCATGCGAAGAAATTAATGTTTAATTCTCCGTTCATATTAATTTATTTTCAACTTTGTGACCAATATACTCATACGACCGTTGATTTATATTTGGCTTATGGAAATAACATATAAGTTACATTTGAAATTTAGTAATAATTTTATTGCTGCTTAAAGAAATAAGCGCTAGAAATTTTCCATGGATTTTCTCTTAAATTATCTTCAAGAATTATGGTATTTGATAATCTTTAAGAATTGTGATTATCAAAGACCTCCTTTATTTGACACTAAAAGACTAGTCTCATGAGACACTTCAAATTCAGACTATCCACATACCTTTAATTATTAACTCTTGACTATAGACTGAAGGCTCTTTGACTTTTGACATTTCAAACTTCTTTATTGTCATTATTTTTAATTTCTTATTTAATTTTTACTTTTACATTTTATTACTTAAAATTGTTAAATTACAAATTTTATATTTTACGACAATTATTATGTTACAACTTATTATTCATGTATATTTTTCAAAAATTCATTAAGAAATATTGCTGATTGCCTGCCCACTGCAACGGCTGGGATGTAACGGATAGCAGATAGTTCCATCCGTTAAGCAGTAAAACTGAAAAGTCGTAACGGCGGTACAGCTGGCTTAACGGATAGTCTTCAGTCTCCAGCTTATAGTATTCGCGGCAAGATTTTAGTTGAAGTGAGAGATACCAAACTCCTGCGATATTCTCTTTAGCAACAAAATGAGACGTTTCCCGAATGGGATATTAATCTCGGAAGGCATTTTGCTTCGAAACATTTAATGTGTTATATCATTTTTCAAATTATTGCCACCAAATATTATCGCCCTGTTTTATATTTAAAGAAATTAAAAATCCATAATCTCTGCTTGAATATATTTAAATTTTTAATCTATTTTACAATGCGCTTTGGAAAAAAGAGTCCTTTATTCTGTCCATACGTACAGATGTCACGCAAAAACATCGTTTAAATGCATTTAAGAGCTCACAAAATAGATACTTTCGTTAAAACATGATACCCGAAATTTTTCACGATTACAATACTTTCTTTACTTCGTACAGGGAAGTAAAAGTTATCCCTCTTCATCTCCATTTAATATTTTTTTCAGAATGCGACTGTGGAGGTAATGGAACGTGCTCTTTAGACACATATGGGGAAAAGAAATGTGTATGCGATAATGGATTTGCAGAACATAACGGAGCTTGCAAAGGTAAAAATTATACTTTTAAAAAACTGTAAATAAACAAAAATAATAATTTGGGCAAAAATTTATGAAAAATCATACTTTGCTTTTAATTTGTTTCGTATCCCTCTTCACCTATTTTAATTTTAATTTTAATTTAATTTTATTTTATTTTTTCCCAGAATGCGACTGTGGAGGTAATGGAACGTGCTCTTTAGACACATATGGGGAAAAGAAATGCGTGTGCGATAATGGATTTGCAGAACATAATGGAGTTTGCAAAGGTAAAAATAACACGGTTAAAAAAATTGTAAATTAAAAAATAATAATTTGGGCAAACATTTATGAAAAAGCATACTTTTCTTTTAATTTGTTTCGTATCCCTCTTCACCTATTTTTTTTTTTTATTTTTATTTTTATTTTATTTTCAGAATGCGACTGTGGAGGTAATGGAACGTGCTCTTTAGACGCATATGGGGAAAAGAAATGCGTATGCGATAATGGATTTGCAGAACTTAATGGAGTTTGCAAAGGTAAAAATGACACGATTAAAAAAATTCTAAATAAAAAAATTATAATTTGGGCAAACATTTATGAAAAAGCATACTTTTCTTTTAATTTGTTTCGTTTATTTCTGGTATCCCTCTTTATCTATTTTTATTTTTATTTATTTATTTATTTATTTATTTCAGAATGCGACTGTGGAGATAGTGGAATGTGCTCTTTAGACACATATGGGGAAAAGAAATGTGTATGCGATTATGGATTTGCAGAACTTAATGGAGTTTGCGAAGGTAAAATTGATACTGTTAAAAAAAATTGTAAACAAGAAAATAATAATTTGGGCAAAAATTTATGAAAAATCATACTTTTCTTTTAATTCGTTTCTTTTTTTTTTTTTTATTTTAGACAATGCACCATATATAAAATTAAAATAATTAATTAAAAATATAGAGATAAACGAAAAATCACACATAAAAGAAAACAAAACAGAGGAGGGAGTTTAGCCTTCTTGGGCGCAGCAGTAACGAGAGAATCATTATAAAGAACTTATAAATCAAAAAATTAAAGGGGCGAAGGTATAATAGCTAAGAGAATTAGCATGGCACTTATAAAGGATGTCAGCTCTTAAGTTAATAATAGGGATTGAAAAGCTAAAATGTCATGAAAAAATTTTATAATACAATCAAAAATGCTTCTAAATATTCCCTGGCTACCTTACATTTAAAATAATTTTGGGTACTACTTTGGTAGACGGTTGCACGGATTTTTGGCGATTTTCCTTTTGGCGAGCGATACGACTTACGGTAAACCCATTGCTGGACGAGTTATTTATGGTAACCGATACTTTGTTGTCATTTTATTTTAGAAAATAATGCGTTTTATTATGAGTAAATTACGTGTTTTAAATATTATTTATGGCTTCTAAATATTAAAAATCAATTTAATTTTGCATTTTTATTTAAAATAAAAATTTTATTGTTTATGATATTTTCTATAATTTTATGTTGTGTATGATGTAATCAATGACGTCACCTTACTTTAAAAGTAACTGGTTTTAATATCTATAACTTTAATCTAACGTTTTAAACATTATTTATGGCTGTTAAGTATTAAAATACAATCTAATTTTGCATTTTTTTTTCAAAATGATGTTATTATGTATGATTATTTAAATAATTTTAATTCTATGCGTGATGAGTCATTTAATCAGCTTTCTAATTGGTTACTGATTATTTGTACATTACCGCGCCATTTTAAAATTTTATTATTCATCTCTTCGAATTCCTTCAATTTCATTGCGAACGGATATATGTCCCTTTCAAAGATTAATGTTGTTATTTGTTAGTACCAAGAATCATTGGTATCGGAATCAAAAAATTGTCCTTTGAGACTTTATTTGGACAACCTGGCTTTCCTAATTAAAGATTTATTTATAAATTGTTACAAGGGTCAGAGGAAATTTATTTTAAATTTTTGGAGGAAATTTCGCTAATTGCGTCTTCAATGAAGTGCGAGAAATGTGGGTCACAGATGAAGATCGTTAACAGAGCCGATTCTGAAGACGGCCGTATATGGTATTGTGGTCACGGTGGAAAAAATAACCGCTGTAACGGTAAAAAAAGTAATTAGACATTCCTCTTTTTTTACCGGCAGTAAACTTCTAATTGCTATCATTTTAGCTCTAGTGTACGAAGCGTTCTTATTTACTTATTTTAATGTATTTGAATTTAAGTAATATTTTAATCCTTTTAAACATTGGTATAATGGTTTTAATTCGGTATTTAGTTTAAGATTTTAATCCAATTAAACGTTAGAGCAATGTTTCTATAGTGGTGCTTTTATTCGCTATAATTTAACCTTACTTTAGTAAGGTTAAGTTATAGCAAATGAAAGTAATAATTTAACATTACTTTAGTATTTTATACTCGTAGTAAATCAATTTATTTACATTTGCCTGCCATCTTAAAAAACAACGTTTTCAACAAAAAATTAATCCATTATTTTTAACGATATATATTTTTTTTAAGTTTCGAATACTTTTAGAGTTTTTCAAGATGGCTGACGATTGTAAAAACCGCGCCAACAATTGTGCCAAAGTAAATCGCCAAAAATCCGTGCCAAAGTAGCACCTAATTTTGCTTTCATGACAACTTGTTTAATTTCTAGGAATTATTATGAAGTCCTGTAGTCGCTCTCGTGAATGTAGATTTATGCCCTTATACCATTTGTCCTCCTTTGCTTTTTCCCTTGCATAATTGTTACCTTTCTTTCAACCTCTTTAAAATTAAATAAGCAACTTTATATTTAACTCGAACTCAAGAGGAAAAGCTTATGTTTTTTTTTTTTTTTTTTTTTGGGGGGGGGGGGTTCTGAAAGGCGAATTAACCATCTTCTGAAGTACCTTTGAAAACACTCCTATGACAGATATACCTTTTTTAGTGCGCTTATCTTTTTACTCAAAATTTGAACTGCCTGTATAAATATCGGACCTATCATAAGCCTGGGTCAAATTTAAGCACAGCCTCTGGCCTCCACAAACAGCTTCTGACATTACTGTTGAATTGTCAAAATATTAAATCAACATTCTAACTTCAATGCTAAACTTTTCAGCATAGTAGATCAACATTCTGACTTTACAATAAAAAATTAGATCTTGGTATGCAAATTTAATAAACACAATCAAACTTGTTGAAAATACCCAATGAGTCTAATTTTATTTGCTGTTTAAAATTTTTATCCTATTTTCAAATCAAGTAAGTTCATTTTTTCCTTTAAAGTGTCCAGTAAAAAATATTAAATTTTAATTTAAATTTAAAAAATGTTAGTTAACAAATCCTTAACAACAAATTTTCGTCCCAACAGAAATTTTCAAACCTAAAATCAACCTCCTTATTTATATCATTTTTTGATTTATTTGTTATGCAAACGTATGGATTATGTTTAGCACGGTATAATGAGCAATATTAAAATGCAAAGTATAATTTTTCTTAAAAAATAATTGCTATTAATTAGAATACGTTATTCATTTTAATTTGGCTTTGAGTTGCAGAAATATGCAAAAATGACTCCGACTGTTTTCATGGCGGGGAATGCAGACAGAAAATCTGTTTATGCAAGAACGGTACTAGCGGTGACAATTGCCAGAATATCGAGGAATGCATGACGTTAGATAAAGTGTGTCGAGGGGCTAATGCTGTATGTAGTTACAACATTGAAGAAGAAAACGCTTCTTGTAAATGTGAAGAAGAAGGAAAGATATATAACGAAGTGACAGGCAAATGCCAAGGTAAGATAAAGCATAATGTGTTATAAGTGTGTATTTAATAAGTGTATGGAGTATGAAAGAAAATGTCAGTACTAATATAGCGCATTATTCATTTTAACTCATTCGGTACTATTATAATACAATATTCATTTTAATTTGACTTCTATCTGTAGTTGAATGTAAAAATGACTGCAATTGCTTTCGTGGCGGAGAATGTAGACAGAAAATCTGTTTATGCAAGAACGGTACTAGCGGTGACAATTGTCAGAATATCGAGGAATGCATGACGTTAGATAAAGTGTGCCGAGTGGCTAATGCTGTATGTAATTACAACATTGAAGAAGAAAAGGCTTCTTGTAAATGTGAAGAAGAGGGAAAGATATATAACAAAATAACAGGAAGGTGCGAAGGTAAGATAAAGCATAATGTGTTGTAACTGTGTATTTAATAAGTGTATGAAATATGAAAGACAATTTCAATGCTCTTATATAATACACTGGCTTCCAAATGTTAAACACACGAAGGTAAAATCAATCAAAATGGAAAAGTGAAGCATTGATTAACATCAAATTTCACATAATGCGTTTATACATAAAAGAAAACGAAAATTGCATGTAAAGATGAAAACAAAATTTAGTTATGGTAAATTATACTATGACATTCCATTTGATTTATTAACACATTGATGTTTAAAGCTAAAAACAAGTAAAGAAAATTTGGTACTTTTCCGTTTCGCCGGCGCAAGTCTCGCCAAGCAAACTTTATTAGCGACAACACACAGTATACACATAAAAAATGTTAACAAATTTTAGTTTTAAGAAATTTTTATTTTGAAGGCATAAACATTTTAATATCGTTTAAAATTGTAGAAAGCCAATAAATAAAGACAATAAATTTGTAAAAAAGACATTAATTTAAGAATTTACTATGCTTTCATGGTAGAACATCCTGATTCGCCGATTCATATCACGTGATCCCAAATGATCTCATCTCACGTAAACTACGCTACAAAAATCAAATTCTTTCAGTAATTGTCTACATTAATTTCAAGTTAAATCTTAATTTGGAATACAAGTTTAAATGCAAGAATTATTTCAATTCGTACGAATAGCTTACTCAGAAATTATGTAAAACCGCAGTGCTTTACTTCGCTAGTGCATTCTCATTAGAACTGATGAATTTAACCCTAGACTTTGCCTTTTCTATATTTTCGCCTTCGGGCGAGCGGTGTGATTGCGTCCTAATTAACTTAATTACCGCGAATGGCCTTGGGGCATAAAATTGAACTATCTGGTAAAATTTCTATGTAATTCCATGCCAGCATTGAAAGAAACAATCAATCTGATAAGAAATAGCTACGACTTGTTTTGAAAATGAGGCGTAAAAGGTTACCAGCGAGAATATTCCGTTTGGCATCAGTTGTACCATCATTGGCGACTTTATCGTTTACGCCGCCGGCAAAACAGAAAAGTACCGAAAATTTATACACGCTTACTCATATGCCTTGATACACACTTCTTGTTCCATTTTTTCCAGAAAATAGCAGTGGACTTTGTTATCCGGCTGCTTGCTGTGCCTTATTGTTGATCTGTTGATTTATGACTCTGTGGATAAAGAGAAGGCATTTCATATTTGAGAATTGAGTATAAAAGATGTTCCTGATAATATGTGGAGTTGATCTTAACAGTTTTCTGCACTCGTTTTCATTTTTATTTGTCGTTATATCAAAAACCAACAACAATCCCAAATCTCTTTGAAAAGGGTTCTTTATTCTAAGAACTTTCCTTCTCTTTGATGATAAAAATCGGAGCTTTTTTTATTGCAGTTTTTTAAAGCTTCATCGACTGTGACAACATTTTTCCATTTTTGTCCTAATAATTATTTCTCACAGGAAATTCTGCAGCGCGTTCTGCTTTCGGCGAGATATCGTGGAGAAAGACGATGCACTACGTTTTCTCGCCTTTTTAGATTCAAATCAGAATTAATCACCGAGCATTTTAATATTTATGCAACTTTATTTGGCTTCAAGAATTTTCTTTTAACATTAATGTTCTTACTTTTGGAACACTCGAAACATTCCTTTTTTTCCTTGACAATATTATCTATCATTGCTTTAAATACGAAAAAATCATGAATTTCTCGTCAATTTTTAATAACTAAATACGAATAATTTTCTTCTGAAAGAGCACAAACATAGCCTTCCGTCCATTGCTTCTCTAAAAGCGCCTTTTTGCATGAGAACAAAATTGTCAAAAAGCAGATGATAATTTGTACTTCCAAAAATATAGTTGCAGATAAAAAATTATTTTCCAAGCAGGCGATTTTTTATAGCAAAGTAAAGTGTTCTAAAAAATGTGCGAACGTCCTCTGTATATCACGTTGTAAATTACTTAGCTCCATGCACAAGCATTGTAAATTACTTAGCTCCATGCACACTCCATGCACATGTGCTTAGATTTTCAGATGTGTTATTCATGCTAGTTTTTATTCGTGATGAAAATAATGCACCCTCGGACATAAAAAATAAAGTGCTACTTTGGTAGACGGTTGCACGGATTTTGGCGATTGTTTTTCGGCGAGCAATACGACTTATGGTAAACCCATTGCTAGACAAATTGTTTATGGTAACCGATATTTTGTTATCATTTTATTTAAAAATAATGCGTTTTATTATGCATAAATTCCGTTTTTAAATATTATTTATGACTTGAAATAATAAAAATGAATTAATTTGCATTTTTATTTTTAAAAATTTTTTTTTTTATTATTTTTATTAATTTTATGTTGAGTGATGTTGTGACGTCACATATTTGCGTAATTTTTTTAATATGTATTTTAATCTAATGTTTTAAACATTATTTTTGGTGTTTACTATTAAAACAATTTATTTTTGTTTTTTTTTTTTTTATTTTTTTATATAATGATATTTTAAATAATTTTAATTCTTGGTTGTAATCATCTTCCTGATTGGTTCGAATATTTTTGCTTACGCCCATTTTAAAATTTTTATTATTCATCTCTTCGAATTCCTCAGATTTCAAAGTGAATGGATGTGGTCCCTTTCGAATATGAATGTTTTATTTGTGATTACCAAGATTATAGTATCGGAATAAAAAAATTGCCGTTGAGACCTATTTTGGCCACCTGCTTTCCCTACTCAAGATTATTTATAATTGTTATAGCGTCAGAGAATTTTATTTAAATTTTTGGAGAAACCTGCTAATTGCTTTCTTCAATGACGTGTGAGATGTGGATCACACAAAGATCGTAGTGGACCGGTTTTATCAATATACAGTTTAAAAAATGTGAGTACCTAATTTTTCTTTTTACTTCATATTTATGCTCAATTTTATTAAAAAATTAATACAATGTTTTAACAAATTCCTGAGATATTTATTGCCGCAAGTTTTAATGTTAAGTATTAAATCCTATAAACTTATTTTTAAATATTTCAGTAATTTTTAATTCTTTAAAGTTGGTATGTGTTTTTAATTCGATATTCAATTTAAGTATATTTTAATCCAATTAAATGTTTTGCGCAATGTTTTTTGTAGCGGTTTTTTTATTCTATTAGAAAGTAATAATTTAAACCTTACTTAGCATTTTATAGCTTAGTAAATGTATTTTTACATTGCCAGCCATCTTAAAAACAACGTTTTCAGCAAAAAAATTAATCCATTATTTTAAGATATTTATTTTTTAAAGTTTCGAATGCGTTTTACTATATGCGTAAATACTAAAAACAGCATTTTTCAAGATGGCTGACGATTGTAAAAACCACGCCAACAATTGCGCCAATGTAAATCGCCAAAAATCCGTGCAACCATCTACCAAAGTAGTACCTCAAACCAAACTACCAAAGTAGTTTAAACTCATTTAATCTTTGTAACACGATGTTTTCAACAAATTCATTATTGAATTGTCTTCGCGAGCCAAATAAAAGGGCTTCGTAGACCGAGAGATTGAGATCATTGCTCTATAAGATATATTGCTAATGAATTGCTGAATAAAAATCTATAAAATGTAAGATATGTAAAACAAATCTGCATAATGTAAGAAAGTCGTACATTAAAGCCTTCAGGCTTAATGTAATGCCTGAAGTACATGCTTAATGTAATGCCTTTTAAAAAATGTAAGTTGACTTCTCGAAAATCAAACGGTTAAACGGTTAATATTTTGTTTAAAAAAAATTTTTTTTTAAATTAAACTACCAAAACAAAAACAGCTGAACATTAAACCGAGGTGATGGTCTTAAGTTTAAAACCCTAAATTTACAAATTTCTGGTACACGAAAATTAAAATTACAGGTATTACTTCATTAATGACCTTAACAGAATCGTATTAGTCTATTCATCACCTATCAATACCATTAAAATCTGTCTGTTTCTTTGTCACATTATGTCCTCCGGTTGAATTTCGAAAGAGTTACCCCCGGATTCCAAAATTTCTTGTGATGCCATTTCGACCATTTTCGTCTTCGTACGACTTCATCAGCCCAGATATCAATTAAAAACTTGGAAAATACTAATTTTCGCACACATTCACCCAAGCGGCATTACTTTCGGGAATCGCTAGAGATAAAAATGCTTTATTTCGAAAAGTGTTGCCACTTCTCGCTTTGAAATCGTAGAGTTTATCAGTGAAAAATCTATAAGTTTTACAAAATATGAAATAAAAATAGCATTGCCAAAGACGAAATACACTAGCATTAAACAATGTCATATGAAGAAAGCACGCACATGTGAAAGCATGTGACACATTGTATATCGAAAATTTTTCGTTAATGTCTGCATTTTAAATAAATAGCTGCTGTTGTGGTGTTGGCAACGTTTTTGTTTCAGTTTAGGATAATTGAAACGGTATGTTATTGCCAGGTTAATTCTTTTATTGATATTGGGAAAAAGTTGTTATATGCAATAAATTTAAATTACGACGTCATACGTATACGTATTAAACTGAAGTCTGCAAAGTTTTTGTTTCCTGGTTTGGCAACAAAAAAATTATTTACGACTTTGTTGTTGCTTAAAGAAAATAAACTGATTTTATTCATACTGAAATTTTTTTACGCATTTTCTTCTCAGGAGTGTATAAAATTTATGCATTTTCTTTGGCCGCAGCCAGCTAGTATTTAATTAATAATTAAGTAATCCATTCATCACCTATTGTTTAACTTATTTAAGGAAAAATATATTACATCGCTTCAAATAGTTTTTCAATTTTTAAAATTTTTTAACAATATTTCTTCCTCTTTATAACAGGAAAATAACTCCAATTTGTTTTGTAAATTTCATTTCTACTAAAACTGTGTTAATTAATTCAACAATGAATAAAGATTTTGGTTTTACAGGTAAAAGAAGCAAAGGATACTTTTCTGCAATTCTTGGAACACTATGCAGTGTTCTGTTTATATTTTTCTCAGTTTTATGCTATTTACATTATAAAAAGCAAGTATGCATATTTTTATATCCCATCGTGTTGCTTTTAATATATTATATGCCATATGCTTCAACCATATATACTAAAATTTGTCACCCAAGTAATGTTTTATAAGCAGCATAACTTCATCATTACTTTTTACTTCATTTCAAATGAAAAATCATTCAGAAAAAATGCTTTTGAAAGGGTAATCAATATTTTTATTGTAAAGATACTACCATTCTGCACGTTTTCAGTTATCTAAGTTTCCAAACAGAAGGAACAAAATGGGAAAAACAAAAATTTTTAAACAAAAAAATAAATAAATAAATCTGGAAAGGATCTGCTTTTAACGCTCTTTAAAAGTTTAATGCAATTTATTAGCAAAGATTATCAATAAGGATGGTCCGAGTGGAATAGCCAAACTTTTTATGAATACACATGGGAAAGTGATATATCTTCTGTGCATTTGAAAAGTGAAAAAAATATGTAACGTAAATGTATAAATATATTTAATGTTTTTAATTTGATATATTATGCATTAAATTCATTTTTAAAATTAATCAGATTAAAAAGTTTAAAAAAATATTCTTAAGGACTGCATCTATTGATTTTAAATAACTCAGTCTGTACAGGACGATAACACGAGGCCGCATAGTGCTCTTCTGGGCGACGAAATTCGCGAGAGTGAGGGTATTCGCCGGATGGATTGGCCAGCCAGGTCTTCAGACCTCAACCCTGTAGGGCATGTTTAGAAAACTCTGGGGAGGGTAATCGCAACTCGCAACCCCCCTCCGAGAACCATCCAGGAACTGAAAACCGCGTTGCTGAATGAGTTGGAGCATTTGCCACAGGCGCTGAGAAACTGTTTTATTTCCAGTACAACATGACGCTGCGAGGCCTGTATGCCTGTAAGAGGGGACCATACCTCCTATTGACCCATTTATTTTGTGTCTTCTGCAGTCGCAGTTTCAGGCCTTCAGACTCCCGTGTGTAACTCAGAGTGTTGTTACACACGAGCATGTGTGTCTATTATAACTGTTGAATAATTATTTTGTTTGTATTATATCAACCTATGTTCACACCAAATTTGATTAAAATCTGTCCAGTAGTTCTTGAGATCCTAGACCAAATATGAAAATTCTCTTAATTTCTATATTATGTTACTTAAGTTTTTATTTTCTCATCTCTATCCTTAAACTTTCTCGAGCCTGTGGCTCCCTCTATTGAGCATCAGTAAATCACTTATGCCAAATTTTTTATTTCTGCTGACTTTTAGTAAATTCTGATTGGAGGTATGGTTTTGAACCATAGGCCGCTCGATTTTTTCAAATCATGGCAATTGGCATTAACCAGTCTTTCTACATTCATTTTCTTCCCTCTGGTTGGCCAATTACTCTCTGTAGCATGTTATTACGGCGATTGCAATTAAATCCATCCAAGCTAATCATGCAATAAAAAAATGCAAATTTACCTCTATGCCGTGAAGACTGGTGCACAAAATTGGCGTAAAAATCAATGCTAGCAATCACACTTTTATTTCTAGAGCAAAACTAAGAAAAACATTGCTTTTAAGATCTCCACCTTTTCAGGAGCTGTTCCTCTGGTCACAAAAGGCCAAAACTTAGAATTATTTTGAACCAAGCTCACATGTCTAATCACATTAATAATGTCAAGAACAAAAGCCATGGGAAATATGCAATTTTCTCCCGGTCATTGGAATATTCAAATCTTAAGCTTGAGTACCAAAACATATATATACCACTTGCATTCGACCGATACTTTGTTATGCTGCTTCGCTTGGAACACGGTTTTTATTCAACTCACTGCATCATTACAAATAGTGCAAACAATTTGTCGCATTATTACTGATTCACACTATCTTATCCGTAATAAAAAATTTTACACAGAGACTTAAACTTGAGACGATTCCGATTACATCAAAGATCTAATGAAAATTCTTCAACAATCTGTGCAATGAATTGTTAATTACTCCAGTCTTTAATTATGAAATTCTCTTCGAAGATAGAAGCGTCAGACCACTGCACCTCACACCTTCATGGGAGAGACGGAACACTTTTTCACTTAGATCCTCATTGGTAGGTGTTTATACTTCAATTCATCTGATTTTGATTGAGTTCTTCTGTAGCTTGAATATTTATTCTGGAGATTGATATACTAATGCTGTGAGATTTTCGCATTGTGATGATATAGTGGTGTTGTAAATAGGTTGCTTAGGTTTGTTGTTGAATGCTGTAGTGTATTGCGTTGATAGTAGTATTTAAAAATCGTGTTGTATAGTTGTTTTGTATTGTGTTGTATTTAGCACTACTGAATTGAGGTTTTTAATTGTATTTGAATTTGTCATTGGAACTATGCGTAGTGTATCTTCTCATATTGTTGTCATTGATTTACATTGTCTTGGGTCCTCCTTGAAAGTTCCGATCGCTCGTCCGTTTGCGACTTGTCCGATTGGATTGTCTTGCTCTTTTGGTAGTTCTCTTCCCCTTAATCCGTTTTTCTCATCTGAGTTTTTCTCCACGTCCGGATTTCTTTATGTCAAGTGCCCTTGGGCTTTAATTCTGGAACCGGCAACATTGCTCTTCGCAATAGCTCGGTCAATTATAAAGTCCCTACCAGTGCACATAAATCGAGAAATCTTCCAAGTTCTTCCAAGACAATCATGCAAACAATTTTTTTGGCACAGGAGTCAGCGACGCTAACAGCTATACCGGCTGGGCGGCTAGCCTATTTAATACTAGTACCACTTTATAAGGATAATATTATGTCCCAATAGGACTTTTAAGTACCAATATTAAGCTTTTTTTAAAAAAATGGTAACATTTTTGTATTTAATGTGAGATGCTTCTCATGCATAATGAAATACAATAAAAAGTTTCAAACTCTTTTTCAAAAAATAAAGTAATTTGAGACATAAAGGGTTAAAGTAAGTTTCTGTGTTTAAGATCCTTCTTCCACTTCATGTACAGAATTATTTTCTGGATTCTCTTAACAAATGTCATTGTAACTTTTTCATATGAGGTGCGAACGTAAATATATGACTTTCTCAATAATGTTAAAGATTATTTTTGTGTAATTATAGATCTCATACCAAAATATATTTTTTTCAAGAAACTAGAACAAAAAGGTAATTTAAATGCATTTTTTGATGTCATCTTTTTTTTTTTTTTTTTTTTCCCTTATAACATTTAGAAAACTGGAAAAACGTACGTACAGTTAAAAGTTTTGAGCTTCTTTGATAGCCACAATGGTACTGCTTCTCTCCCTGAGACGTCGTGAAGTGTCTCGCTCATCAAGACAGCTACAAACGGTGCTTTCAGGCTACAGGGTTGGATATACAAACTGTGCAAATGGGACTTTTCAACCTGCCTCAGAATTTTATCACTGTAACTTCGAATATTTTGTTCATGTTATGATTATCATCGAATCCACAAACAAATATTTATCATTTTAAATAAATATGTTGATACAGATAAATAAATATTTATCTTAAAAAAATTCTGCTGTTTTAAATGTTTGAATGTCACATTATAAAATATTTAAAGCAATTTATCCATGCACGGCTGCTGGCTTAGTTATTATTAGAAATAACTCAGAAGTCTCAATAATTAAACTATTTCATATAACTTCGAAAATGATGATTTTATTAATGTTGAGCTTATAATATGTGCTAACAAAATAGCAATGTTGATTCTGTCATATACCTACAAAACAGCTAAGATAAATCGCCTTCGAAGTAGTTGGACACTTAATATAGTAACCAGATACATGTTCTGCACATGCGAAAATACACTGATAAGTGAATTATGGAATTATTTCTGCTAAAATAGGATTTTAATGAAATTTTAGATATGATACAAGATTTTCACAGCATTTTCCATGCATACAAGAACATTATCTAGTCCTGCATGGAAGTTATTATAATATAAAAGATTATATTAGGAAAGGAGATCACACTATGAAGTCTTTGGTATTTTAATTATATTTTCTAAACTTAAAGCTTGTTAATCATATTTAGCTTTAAATTCCATGCATTTGTAAGAAACTTTCGAGGTCTTTAACCGTACGAAAGCGATTCCAAAGGAAAATATGAAAATCTAATTATAATTACATTTTCATATTTCATTTGCATAGGCAGTATAACATTGCAGTCACGCAAGGTTGCTCTCACCACCAACAGAGGGCACCACCTCTCCGACTGCTTCTCAAGTCATGAAAACGGAACTTGACTTTCTAATGTACATCTCTTGCTTCGAAATTCCGTTAATCCGTTAGTAAAATCGCAAAGCCCCGTGAGGAAGAACTGCAGCAAACAGAATAAAACGCTGTATAATCACATCTGTATCAAAGTATATAATTAAGGGTGTGTCTATAATAAAAAATGCTGCTTCAGGGAGCGCTGTTTTTTGACAATCAGAGTTTCCAAAAATTGAAGATTGGATTACTTAGAGTACTCAAAAGCTATTTGCCTAAGTGGATGAATGACTTTATGGAGAATTGGCTATTATTATGTCTAGACCTTAAAATTTTTCCCCTAAAGTACTCAGTTATATCATATTAAGGATGGATATGGATAGAAGCTGTGCTTTCTTTATAGGAAGGGGTACATATTTTGTGAATCTAACTAGGAAGTAAAAATTGTATAATGTCGGAGCTTCCCCGCCAGACAACCCGAACGTATTATGAATTATTTGAATTACCCAGAAATTAGAAACGGTTATAATGCCTGTTTAGTCTGCCTTGCAGACAAAAATAGCATTTCTTCACAGAAGGAGAATTTCTTAAGACATTTCCTTTCGAACCAAAATATTAAAAATATCTTCTTCTAGTTCCTTACAACAATAGAAGATTGGGAAATTTGGTACAGAACACAGGTGTGTTTGTTTGTTTCCCGGAAGCAGTCCACCCACCTGACCACAGGTGGCCCCTATGGCTATGACAGAATCCTTACAGTTGATCTATTATTACTCATAAAATTCATAATCTTTCTTGATAGATTTTTTTGCCTTATCTGATAAAATACAGCCCTCGTTAATAGTTCCATTTATGATAAAAAATCTTTCCTTATATCTTTTAAAAGTGGGCAGGTATCCAGGAAATATTTAGCATTTCCAGTTTCGTTGCATTTGCCGCAGAGTTCACAGTTTGGAAGATTAAATCATTTAAAGTGATTAAGTGATAAATCACTTAATGCTTATTCACTAATTAGCAATTAGCAAAAAGAGATCAAGTAAAGCCTTACATACTTATATTTTTGTCTTTATCCGGAAATGAAACAGATGTACAAAAAGAAAGAAAAGGGAGAAAAAAAAAAAAAAAAAAAAAAAAAAAAAAAAAAAAAACAGGATAGTTCTATAGCTCCCGTTCTACTCGGCCGATTGAAGAAATTCAAAAACAGTTTCTCATGTCTCGAAAGCGCGACTTAGAATATGTATTAGATTTATATATAGCATTGTTCTAATATAGGTATTTTGACACAAAATGACTTTTTCTGAAATGACATGCCCATTTTTTTTTTTTTTTTTTTTTTTTTTTTTCCATATTTCGATACTAAGACTCAAATTATTCCGAATTCCCAAGTTTTGTAAAAATCACACGAGTAATTTTTAAAATATTAGCTCTCGAAATTTTAGCTCCTCAGTGTTAATTGAATTTGATATATATTTATTAATATCTCTTTTCTTATTAAACTTAATCGATTTCTTCTTCCAAAATTCGAAATTTAGGCTTAATCCAAATATAATTTGCTATTTTTTATGATTTATTTTTTTTTTAATTTGTGTTTTTAAATATTTTTTATAAATTTTTCGAAACAATTTTTTACTGTAACCTATAAAATTTTTGCCATCGTCTTAAAGTAGACGTATTTCTAGGCACACCTACAACAAATTAGAGTTTCTTATTCAAAATTTTCTAATAATAATAATGCCAAATGTGGTTTACGCCCTTTGTTAAAATTATTAGAAAGTATGAACGATGACTTTTTTTCCGCTCGTCTACCATGAAAAAAAGAAAGGAAAATAGGTTGCCATAATTTAAGAAGTTCGCCAAGTGAATTATTCTTGGCGCAAACCGAAAAAAAAATGCGCCAAGGTAAATTTTTGAATTTTTCCGTAAATTTCGCACCAAATTTTACAAAATTTAGTATTCAGGCATAATTTGAGTCGTAGAATCGAAATATGAAAAGAAATTGGCATATCATTTCAGAAAAAGTCCCGTTTTGTGTCAAAATACTTTACTTTCTCCCCCCGCGCGCAGTGTACTTAACAGTACTTCACTTCAGAAACTCAATAGCAAAATATGTCGTAATATATAAGAATTTTTAAAAAGTTTTACGAAAAAGAAGAGCAGAATCAGATTATAATCATAATTGATGTCATCATATAGCTAATACGCTCTCTCTATTTTTTTTTTTTTTTTCCTAAATGTTTGCGAATATAGTTAACCTCTTCCCATCGTTTTCGAAGCCGCTACATTTCCCTTAAAAAGAGTAGATGAAAAAGACATGGTGAATTCATTCTTTTTGATATTACAAACAACTGTGAAACACTAGCACTCAACCAAGAATTTCCAAAGCGGTAAAACAAAAGTTCGAGATACGTTTTCTCGAAATACGATAGTCTGAGATACGTTTTACATATGAGTTAATGCCACAGTGATTTCCTTTTCATGTAACTTCAGTTGAAGTGGTAGGTTGATTAGTTGATTATTTAAATATCGCAAAACACGCGAAGGATCTCAGAGTAAATAATCCTTCGTGGAGGATTTCCTAGGGAAAACTGGCTAGTCTTCATGTTACGCATTGGGCAAACCACGAAAATGAACTAGATATACAGCCAGCCCGTTTGCCTGAGTTCGAATTCAGAACGAAATACCGCCATTCAGTAATCTTTACCCCCTCGGCCACTACCGAGGCTTAGACCAGGGGTTCAGAAGCTTAAAAGTATTCATCTTTGATATCTTGCATTTCAACGTAGTTTACTTTATGGTGAAAAATTTCAACGTGGTTTAATTTATGGTGAAGAATTCCAATGTGGTCCAATGTGGTTTAATGTACGGTGAGGAAGAATTTTATTACTGAAACATAAATTTATGCTTTAAAATTATACCTAAGGAAATATCTATCAGTAAGAAATATTCTATCAGTAATATCTATCAGTAATACATACTTCTATAATTTACAGCCGGAAATTGTATTTTTCGACGTGTTTTTAACTATTCATTATCCACTAAATATAGAGTATTCCGCAAATTTAGACACTTTAAAAAATAAGTTAATAAATCAGCATATCAGTACGATTATTCGGATAATATCAGCTGGATAAATTTGGTAACTGGGTTATAAATTCTAAGAAATTTCATTAGTAAGATTATTTTTTAATCTACTTTAATTGGACGAATATCGGGATTATGCGAGGATTAGTATTATTTTTAAGCAAGGATATGTATGGAAATTTTTTAATTGTTTCAACAGTAAATAAATAAACGAAATTCGATGGGGCGGGACCATATTCCATTGTCACCGCATGTCAGCCTTAAATTCAACCAAAACCCAATGAGTCTGGCTCCGGTGTTTCTCAGTTTTTAATTACAATCGTTATTCTAACCGGAGCCGAGCTCTTTCACTTTTTTACGTAACTGAGTCACATTTAACAGAAAAACTGTTATTTTAGTTATTGAAATTTTTTATTTATTAAACTTTATGGCAGTTAATAAAGCTGTTATTTATTCGATTCTGAATGTGGGTCTCGTGTATCCTATAAATAGCAAAATACTGAGAAAATTTGAACAGTATAGGAATAAAAATCATGTCGAACTGCGCCCCATTTTTATGAGTAGTAACCATCTCGACACGAAGGCTTTGAATATTGTTCCATGTGTACGGGTTCGTAATAGATTGAATGCACACGGAATCATTGATAGCTTGATAAAATTTATTTTCCCAAAAGAAACAGTTTACAGTTCTGGAACTTTCCACAAAAGTGGCGCATGATGTGCGTCTGCGCTGAAATTCTAATCATTTGCATATCTCACCTCCGCTAATGCGTGTTGTAAATTTTATGTTATTTGCATGCTTCCTTCAGGGTGTTGCATTTACGGTGGCCAGTATCTCCCTGCATTATGTTTATGCCTGTAATGTGTTATTATGGCCTGTGTTATGCTGCAGAAACGTGTAAGTATGTGTAAATGAAAAAAAAAAGCCCCTTTGGGGGTAATATAAAATCTGAAAGCTTTCAGATTTTTTTAATATTTTTCAATAGAGTTCTTTTCGGTTTTTTTTAATTATTTTTTATTCATTTGTTTATTTATTTATTTTTGGCAATATTACTTAATTTAAATTTCAGATACTTAAATTCAATTTTTATTTTTATTTATTATCAATTTAACTTATTGTATTAATATTTCTAGTTACGCCTAC